GTGAAGATTGACTAACCAACTTGTTTACGCTATTCATGCTACGTAAACAAGTTTCATTGTGCTTTGCAAACATACTATCTAACCAATTATGCATGTCCAGTAGGCCAGACAATGTCTATCATGTCACTGTGATGCCTTGTTATGACAAAAAGCTTGAAGCTGCGAGGGATGAATTTTCCTTTTCAGTAGATGAGGGAGGGAAGCAATGGAGGAGGGAAGGAGGAGAAGTGATGGCATAGGAGAGAAGGGAAGTAGGTGGATGAAGAAGGGAGGGGAGAAGGTGGTGGTGGATGAGGAAGAGGAAAAGAGGTCAAGGATGAGGAGGAAGAGAAGAGTATTGATGATGGTTGATGACGGTAGGCAGGAACAACAAGTGGCAATGAGGGATGCGATCAACGGCGGAAGCAGACGCAGGTGCTGGGGAGAAGGCATGAGAGGATAAGCTAAGATTCTAATTTTTGTTTGTTTTTGATTTTTTTTTTAGATGTTGGGCTTACTATCTAGTCTTGGCCCATTACCGGGTGGTAAGGCCTGTTCAGAAGCCTTACTGCTTGGTTCATAGGGCTCACCTAGTGATAAATCGTGTATTACACTTCAACCGCTCGAAATTGAGCTGGTCCATGTGCCAGTTGGACCATATGTGGTGGACGAAATTGCATTCCTTGTTTTTGTGTCCTATTAGTCTATAACTATGGTGATTGTTGAGCATTGGTACTATCACCACTATATTGGTATTGTTAAATATATGGAACCTTGGATTCAGTAGACAAGGATCAATTTTCAAAATCTCATGTGACTCAAAATCTGTACTGGTAAGAAGACTGATCATGAGGAACTCTTGTATGACTTGATCTCATCCGAGCTCTTCCTCATCTTCTAAAAGTAATAAACTGCCTTTTATTTGCTTGGATAAATAATGCTAAAATTGAAAATATTATTTTCTTTGAATTTTGGATCAGCTGATCTTTTGGAGGAAAGATGAGAAAATGGTGCCTATAAACTGGACCAGAGAACTATGAATTAATGCTACATTAGTAAAGCAAGGAATATTACATGGGGATACCTGAGGCCTCCTGATAACTTGATAAGCACTTCTGAATTATATATATGAGTAGCAAAAGAAAATTAATTATGATAAAGCAAAGTGTGGGATAGTTTTAGAACAGAATCAACAGATGTTTTATTCTGTGAACAAAAGACCATCCAGTTTTTTCTGTTATATCTAGATAGTGCATTCAGTCTGTAAAATTATTGACATGGTTCTTGTTAATTTTTTTTCATGATTTTGTACTATTTGTTGCTATGTAGGAGGCTTCTATTAATGCTATGAATGAAGAACTGCCCAGAATTCAAGAGCAAGTTTATTACGGCCATATTAACTCAAAAACAGACGTGTTAGAAAAATTTCTTTCTGAGAATGGTTATCGCCGCTATAACCCTCAGGTACTATAGTTTATTGCATTTTGAAAGCCATTTTGTTCTTTCATTTCTCAAGTACTTGTGTTTATAACCAATAAAACATCTAGATCCTCAGCGAAGCTAAGGGACACAAAAAGTTTAGCTCACTGATATCATCGTATGTTGGGACGGAAAGTATTCTTCAAGATGTCCATTACTTACACTCTTATGCATGTAAGATTAATTGATTAAGATTTTTTTGGTGTTCTTGGCTCCTTTTCGTTAGTTAACTTGTTACTGTGTAATTCAATATGCAGCTGCAGATGATTTGAAGCCGGTTACACATCTTCTAGCGATTGATATTACATCAAGGGCAGGAATGAAGTTGCTGCATGAAGGAATAAATTACTTGGTCTTGACTTCACTCTTGTGCATTGAGATGCAATTGCCTGATGTGAACTTCAAATCACATTATTGATTTGTGATGTTCTTCTTGCAGATAGGAGGATCTAAAAGGGCCCGTGTTGCTATGCTACTTTATAGCACTGCCGGAGCTTCATCAACTGCTTCACATTTTGTGAAGGCCTTTGACACAGCGGTATCCGTGTTCAGGTTAGTCTTCTTCCCTCATTTCTATAGGGTCCCCTATATGCTTAAGTTAATTTTTGAGATGTTACTTATCACCCTGCTTTTGTGTAGTTTACTGATACATAAATTCTATAATCTGACAAATTTTTTAATAATTTAAGCGACAAGGAGCGAGTCTTAGACTTTTTGGAAGAACTCTGCTCATTCTATGAAGATCAATTCATGACTGCGTCTCTGTTGGATTATGACAATTTCAGCATATTTACTGATAGAGTTTGTGAACTAGCTGCAAAATTTGGCTTGCCATCTGATTATTACAATTCAACGTTTTCAAGCTTCTCAGTGGATGTAATTAACAAACAGATGGAGAAGGTACACATTTATTTTTGTTAGTCTGGACATGATTTTTCATGTTTATCACATTTTTTTAGTTTGTATTTGAGGTAAAAATAAACAAAATAGTTTGCTTTGTTTCAAAAGATATAGTGAAATTAAGCAAGTGGCTCCCGTTAAAGGACTAAGAAACTCTTACAAAGTAAATAATTACTTGCTTCCTAATGATGTCTGTATATTGTTTTGTTCAACGTGTTATTTGTCTTCTTGGAATAAATGAAAACTACCTATTGAATCAGCCTGAATTTTTGATCCTGAGTTTTAGATATAATATTATTTTGGTTTATTTGTTACAATATTGACGTGGTCTCTATGTCAAATGACCAAGTTTAAGTACATAGACCAAGGATTGAAATTTCAGGTATTGGACCATGTTGGTCCATGCATGGACTGGTACAGGTGTGGTTTGTTTCGGCATATCGATACATGGTATGTTGGCACATACCATGGTAAGAAAGGGGGCATTGGGAAGAGTAGGAGTACCAGGCTGGTGGTGATGGATGGCACGATCAGTGGCAGAGAGAGAGAGAGAGAGAGACAAACAGACACGCAAGAGAGAGATCGAGAGAGACACAGAGGGGGAGAGGGAGGGAGTGGGAGTGATGGGTTAAAGCCTAAAATGCCAAAAAACAAAGGACCATTGTCACCATTCAGGTTCATGCCTGGACTGCCAAATATCAATCCTTGATGTAGACATTTGAAAGTATAACTAAGGATGCCTGCTTTTATACATTTGTCTTTGCCACAACGTTGGCAAAATGATATTTTATGATAGTTGTGATATGTTTGCAATCTCTTGGCATAACTTCTGTCAAGATTGGTTCTCCTTCAGGGCAAGGTCTTCAATTTCGAATAATATCGCTCGTACCGGGCACTACGTATCGGTCTGCTAGGACCGCCTACTGTTGGGCGATATTATTATTATTATTAATATATATATATATATATATATATATATAAAGGCGACGTCGTAGAAATTTTTTTACTTTTATATATAAATAAAAAAAATATATATATACCGAACGGTATACTGAAATATACCGCTCGGTATACCGTACCGTACCGAACGAATCTCGAAACTCCGGTACGGTATGATATTTCAATCCTTGCTTCAGAGCGCTACTCTTTTTCGAGGATAGCGCTGGCCTCAAAGGTAAGAAGAAAGGAACACAGAGAGAGAGAGAGAGAGAGATACTCAATTAAACTAGCTCTGACATTATTTCATCAAGGAAATATCAAGTGTTATACCGTAGTTTTCTTATATCTACCATGGAACAATTGCTCGTAGGTTAGTTCAAATCGAAATCAAATGTTTCATGGCCATCAGTATAAAATCATAAGAATTGGCAATTGCAAGATGAGTTTTTTGTAGTCGTATCAAAAAATCTAGAAAGTACCTAGATGTCAACTGTATAACTGGAAACTTTCTGGTTCCAATGTATATATTAGATCAGAAATTGAAAGTTTATTTTATGGAAATGTGACTTCAAGACTTAGTATTGAATTCAAAGTCTCCAGGATATATGACTCTATTGTACTACTTAAATAATAGATCTCTTCATAGAATTCAATTTATCCAAAATGAAGGATCTTCTGGTCACAGATTCTTTATTGTTTTTCTTTTCCATCTGTTCTTTGATAGGTAGTGAAGATTTGGCTGATATAGTAGATTAATAATTTTTTTGGTGCTGTACTAATGTTGTTGTATATTAATAATTTTTTGTACAACTACTGGATATTTAAATCATTCTCCATAGACACATAATTAAAAGATTTTCATTACATAAATAAAATGATTATTTATTTGTTTGTAGCTATGACCATTGAGATGTAAAAGTTGTAACTCTGTTATGCAATGATTTGTAGTAGGGCTTATTCTTTGTGGCCAATTTGTCATGGCACTTGTTTTCTACTATAGGGCTTGAAAGGAAAATAGATGAAAGTTTTGGCTAAAGCTCTTTTTCAGTTTTCTTGTCTTGGAGACCTGATTTCATGGTGGCTCTAGGTCTTTAGTGGACAACATTGCAGATTTTGTTTTTCATCTCTTCTGCTTATCTGAGTTTTGCTTTGACATATCCTAATTGAGACTTGTTTTTTCAAATATGCAGGTCTCAGGTTTTTTGCATGGGCAACTTGGTCTTGAATATGGTTCCAATGCTGTAATTACAAATGGAAGAGTGAGCTACATAGTGCCATATTACTTAATATAATTTGCCCAATGCTAAAAGTTCTAATTGATTTTTGATTCATTTTGTACTAACTCATTAATTTTTAGATATTTATCCTCAAAGATGGGAGCCCCTTTCTAAGTGATGATTTGAGTCTTTTGGAGTCTGTGGAATATGAACTAAGAATTAAATACATCTATGAAATTATTGATCAAGTGGAATGGGTAGATGTTGATCCTGATGACCTGACAAGGTAAATTTCCAATGTTGCAGTTACTTCTTCATAGTTGTTTATAATCTCTTAAAATATTTAAAGATTTGGGTATGAAATTGTTTGATGAGTTTGTTAATAGGTTTACAAAAAAAAAAAAATCCAAACATATAAAATGATCTCCATTTATAATCATCTTTATTGAAAGTTGAAACACTTATTTTTTTTGGATTGTGCTTCATGGAAGTCCTTCAATCCCTAACCTGTGGCATTATAAAGTCCACCTAAACCATGGAGGTAGATGGGCACTGTGATAATATGATAAATATGTTTGTTAAATAGTTTGGATTTCCATTCTTCCAGTATTATTTTAGTTTTGTTTGGAAGAGGGATCTAGCCCAATTTTGCATGCTTGTCAGGTACGTGCAGGATTCGTAAATATTCAAAGGGAGGCTAGAGGCTTGATAATTGAACATCAATCTTCACACATTTCCTCTGTTAGGACCTAGATACCGTGATTTTGCATTTATCAAAGACAATGGCAAGCCAGAAAATTTAGTATAGTGCAACTTCATGTTCCATTAATTGACCTTCATCAATTGATGAGAAAATCAACATGTTATTCGTGAACTAGTTCATGGTTTCATGAAGAGATCCCATGGATACAGGACACCTAATTCAGCCTGCTAGTTGTTAAGGTAAATGGACATTCATTACTAGAATGAAGATTAACGGATAAAATGGTTCTTCATTTGTTAGGCCTCATATATGGGAAGAAAATTTTGGTAGACTCATTATACAATGCCCAGCAAAACAAAGATTTAGTCAACTGCATGCAGAGAGTTCTAACAATACATATATCCCACAGTGGATATAGTTGTTCCCTCTACACTGGAGATGCTACCTCTGGCTTTAAAGATGTTGAGAATGAAATCTCAGTATAACTTATTAAAGTTTCTCAAAATCCACCACTCCTTGCACATAGGTGGATTGTTGATCTGAAACAATCAGTAACATCTATTCTTTCAGAAAAGCCAATTATACCAGATAAAGGAGTTGGATGAGGGGCTTAGTGAACTTGTTAGTAGGAACTTTGTGAATACCTTACAAATATAGTTGATTAGGCTGGTCGGCCTGAAGTGTTAGATGACAGAGTTATTCTCCATCTTAGGAGCAAAGGGTGATAAATGCTTGATCTAGTTTCTTAATTGAGTTGGATCCATCATAGAACCCTTGGAAGATTCGGTAGATCATGAATTGTCTCCAAGAACCCTTGGAAGATCTTCTTGCTTGATTGAGAAGCCATTAGGTCCTGGGTTTCTGTCCTAGATCAACAAGAAGACCAATGCTTTAATTTCTTCTATTGAGAAAGGTTTTCTAGATTAGCAGGGAGGCTGAATTCTGAGGGTAAGTTTCTCGCTGAAACAACTTTCAGTGGGTTTAGGTTAACACCTAGTATTACATCTTATCTGTGACAGCTATATCAATTCTTGTGTCCAGTTAGAGTAATGAGCTAATATGCCCCAAATTAGCTTTTCAATGATTATCTCAATGGACATCTGCATCTTTGAAATTGATGTTTAATTGGACTAGCAAAATCAATCAAGTGTTCTGTATGCCACTGCATTGAGGCTGTTTATCATGGTTTTGTATTGTTTGAAAAATAGCAGTTTGTTAGAAAGACAAATTTGGTTGTTTGAAGGAATAGTGGTCATACTAAATTGGGAAGCCATTTAGATTGGATAACATCTTATTTGAATGCCATGGTGACGAAAGATAAGTTTCCATCCTTCCAACACTACATAGATCATTGAACAATTAGATAGACAGGAAGAAGTATGATATCTATTGTAATGAAACCAATAATGTCATGATGTTCTAGCATGATATTTTATAAAAGAATGGAGTATTTCATAGATTTCTTCTAGATCAGATTGTAATCCTCCCTTTGAACTATGTCTTTTACTTATTCATAATTTCATGATTTACTCTCAATCTTCCATTTTCATATTGTTATATTTCATTTTTCACTTTGGTAATACCTGGGAATAATCTCCGTTGCTTTTATATTTTCCAATTCATAAACTCCCAGTACATACACTTACTCCATTTCCTCTACTTGCAGTAAATTTTACAGTGATCTTATCATGTTAGTTTCCTCTTTGCTGTCTACACGTGAACGGAGTTCTGATAGGGCCCATTTTGAAATTTTGAATGCAAAACATAGGTATGTGATTTCACTTGTTTTACCTGCAATGATGCTTTCTTACAACATACTACCGTCTTGACTGATGTTTGGCTATCCTTTTTTTGTTTTTGCTACTAAAAGTATAGAAAGGAATTCTAGAATGTGACTTTGACTTTACAGGTATGGGGATATTAGTGTACAATAAAAAACTAGCTACAGACCCATGCTATGCATGCGTCGTCGTAGAATTACAACATTGATAATACTTGTTCCATCGTTCATTCATATATACAGTTTGGTAAAGCATAGCTAGCTGGTTACCTGAGATCTCTTCTTCCTAACCTAACTAATGAAAAACCCTAACTAATAGATAGAAGTCAATTGCATGTCTGTTAGGGATTCTAGATTATAATTTGGCTTGGCAATTATTGCACTTATCTAAAAGTTGGATCAGAGTTACACTTAATAGTTGATAACATGGTACAAATTTATGTTGGATTGTGTATAACATTTTTCGGTTGCTTTAACAAAACCAATTTTTAAGTTCATATTTGTGCACTGCTTTAGTATATTGTCTTTTGTTTTATTTATGTAGCTTGTTCCTATATAAATGGTATGTTTGGCATACATGTTATAGAACAAACTAATTGCTGAACCTTGTGCGTAGAGAGATCACTTATTGCCAAGGCTCAAGGGATTAAGATCAACATATGAAACTGATCTCGAGCAGAGTGAATCGACCATGTCGGACTGCTATTCATTTTGGCTTAAAGAATAATTTAAACATAAAAAAGAGACAGAAGTATTTATATTTAGTGATAAATGATGATAGATCTACAGAAGGAAAAATTAAAAATTCTGAAATATGAATAGTCTGCATAAAGTATACTATGATCAGGGTTCTCAATTTCGATGTGTACCGCTCGATATGAGCAGTACGTACCGGTCCGAGAGAATACCGGTACGCGGACCGTCCTCTACCGGGCAGTTCCAGTGTTTTGACCGGTACCGAGGCGTACCAACCGATACTCGGACGTACCGACCGGTACCACCTCGGATTTCGACCGTTACCGAGGCATACCATTGGTACGCCCTGGCATGGTAGGTGAAGGTATTTTTAAGATTTTAGGGTGTGCCATCGGTACGCCCTAGCGTACCGACGGTATATACCGGTACGTATCGTTCCGAGCAGAGCTCATTACGCCAATATGGACCAGTATTCAAAACCTTGCTATAATGTAAGCGAAACATTAATATGACATAACACACATTCATCCTATATGATCCATAATAGAGGGCCAAACAATATGCATATGCAATTAATAAAGAACATTACAAAGTATCACATATATAAATGTAGGCTTTCATTATTAGCTAATATGTAATACTGTAATAAATATTGCATCCAAAGTATCACAGGTATGGTGAGGCTAATATGAACATTGCAATTCTTCACAAATAATGATGATGTTGAAAGATTGTTCTTTCTATTAATATTGTTGTTTGCATCCAAGGTTTTAATTTTTCATATTGTATCACTTAAAAATTATGAAAATTTTTGTTTGTTGCTTTTCAGCACCCAACACTTGGTCTTGGTTATTATGTGAGGTCAGTGGGTCGTCCACTTTTTCTTTAGTCTGCATGGTGGGAGATGGGTGGGGGATGGGCTTTACTTCAGTTTGGCCCTATTGGCAGTATTAATGGTTGTATAGATTTTTTAACTAGTAAAAAATTGGCCTTTTATTAATTTGGAGGTATAGTTCATCCTTTCACTCCATTGTTCTCATTACATGCAAAAGAGTTGCTTTGTACCAAACAAACAGGATTGATGTGATTGAAACCATTTCATTTTTTGGGCGTTACACCCCCTTTACCTTCCTCACCTCCTATGCCACTCTCACTCACTCTCTTTCTCAACTACATTCTCAATCTCAATCTCTTGTTTTCTTCGGTAAAAGGCTTAGAACATCTCTAATTGCCTTCCAAAAGAATCGAGGAAGGAAGGTTGATTTGCATCCCAAAAGGGTTTAAATCTCAAGATCAGATCTAAACCATCTTCAAATCAAGGTAATTTGATACCTAAACTCTAAGTTAATTTTATATAATTAGGTTGAGGAAAATGTTTATTCTTTTATGATTAGGAAATTAAGGGATAATTAAGGGTTAACTCTTCCATGTACACCTAATTAAGGACTAATTAGAGATGATTAAGGGTTCATTCAAGCATGTACATTTTTCTTGAATTCGAAATTATCCATTAATTAAGGGGTTATTCTTGCATGTACACATAATTAAGGGCTTCTATATCTCATATATTGTTTTATGGTCTGAAATTGAGTTTATAGCTGTCTAACATGATTGCATATAACCAGAAAAGGTTTGAAAAAAGGGGATAAAATAGGCATTTTTTTCTTGTTTCCAGCATTATTTAATTTTGTTTTTTGAAATCCAGCGCATATCTGTATATTCTATGCTTATATACAGATAGAAAGATTGAGATGACAATCACACTTGCTGCAATAGGGCAAGAATTAAAATATTCCTATCTATTTGGTCCATTGATTGCACTAGGATGCATGTCATCTCGTGCTAGATGTTGATGTATCATCTATACACTGCAGGATAACTCTTACGAAAGATCCTTGTTCATAGAAGGGGGCCATTGTTGTAGTTGTGATATTTTCTTTCTGGTGCAATGATTCTAAAGTCTCACTGGTTCTTGGTGCTTAGGATTATGGTAGGCGCCTTTGAGGGCTTGAGACCATTTTGGTGCTTGCCCATTTTTTAGAATGTTGCAAAGAGGTGCTCCACTCTAACCTTCCTGTTAAGGCAGTCTTTTGGAGCATGCTTCTTGGTTGCCATTGTAAAATGCAAAGGATAAGCATGCTTAATATATATGCATTTAAGAAAATGGTCTTTGCAAATTTTGTATTCTGAAGTACCATCAAGTTGTTGCACTTGTACCATACACATTTTATCTTGTTTGACTTTCTAGTTACAGATGATCATTTGTCATTATTATGGTACACTAATCCTGTACCTCTTTCTCCATAGATATCCATGTGTTCATGTCCACAGATTGATTCTCTTTGCCCATTGTCGTTTATGTAAATAGGTCCACTATGGATTATTGCCTAATTTTGGAAAGCTATTTCTGACATTTAGTGATGTAAAGTCTCTTGTTTTTTAGTTCACTAAATGTCAGACATCATTATATTTTCTAATTCCTAATTTCTTTCTCAGTGCTGTCAATCTGAATACTGGAAACTCCAGCATACATATTGATGCTGTAATTGATCCTCTAAGTCCTTCAGGACAAAAGCTTTCTCCACTTCTTCGTATACTATGGAAGTGCATTCGACCAAGCATGAGAATAGTACTAAATCCAGTTGTAAGTTCTTGGCTCTAATGTTGTGTTCTGTTTCATATAATATTCAAGCTCCAGAACCTGTGAACAAATTAGGTTCCTAAATAGCCAATTGTTTTTTACTGTCTGATACATCTGTATTGTAAGTTGTAACAATTAGTTTATGCCATTATGTGTAAAACTATCTGTCATCAAAAGTTCCTCTTTTTTAATGCCAAATGCTACCAAAATTTCTTTTGTGTTCATGTTTTGGATGTATAACTTGTCGGACCAGTATCTGGAATAAAGAAACAATTACATATGTTCATGGTTTTAAGATTTGCACCTTGTCATAATCCGTTGGTGTACCAGACCGTTTGACTGTATAGTTTGGTGAAAACATATTAAACAATTAGTTAGTTTTTTGTTTGGGGCATTTAGGTGGAATTATGTCATATACTGATTCAATAAAATTCTGATGAGTATGAATACTGGTTTGAAAACCTTGCTATGAAGTACCTGAGTATACTGATTCAATAAAACCATTATGTGGTTAACAACTTTGATGTATTGAAAGCTCTAGTTTAGATTTTTGATATTTGTATCAGGATTAACTAGGGCATTCCAGTATATATTATTGGGATTTGGGATCAATTGAATTGGCCGGATCAACCAGAACAAAATTTAAAAAAAAAAAAAATCATTGAAAAATCATGTTAAAATTTTTTTTTACCATCATATTTTTCATAAAATATCTAGTGACATGAGACCAAAAAGTATAAGATAAAAACCTATATAAAATTATAAAGAAATGATTATATATAATTATTAAAAAACAATTATTTATCATATCATATAACTATAGTAGTATAGAAAATGATGATTATATATACATCGTACAAGATCTTCAAACTAATCTATTTGCAGATTTGGAGATGGTGATGGATCCATTCTGATCTTGATGCTTCTCTAATTACCATGAAAGTGAACTAATAAATAAGGCAAATGAAAATGAGAACTAAAAGCTATATTTGACACCCATGGAAATTTGTGATTAATCATGAGTTTCATTATACTAATTGTCTTTGCTATGACATTTTTTTCCTAGGAGGATGATGGTCACTCTTTGTCCTCACTTTTCCTCATGTTTTGTTTTCTTTGTTTATCCAATAGTGGATGATTTGGCAATAAATAACAATAATATCAGCACCTCCTCTATTTTAAAGAGATAGTCCAAACTCCTAAGTTTCTTTTTTATGCTTCTTTTGTCTTGGCTTCCCTGTTAAATAATCTTAAATGGACAAAATGAGCGAATTATAATTCACTTTGGAACTTTGGTTGATTTTGAACAGTTTCTGGCATAGTTGACTTTAGCCTAACTCAAGGGCTCATAAGAGTGTTCCACTGTACATAAACCTCAATGTCTATGTATTATTTTTATACAGAAATTGTAATTATTAGCATATGGAAAATCCTGACAGTTGTTTAACATAGAAATTGGTAGGCATTTATATATATAAAATTCTGATTAGATACCTCATAGTGATTGTATTAATTTCAAAGTATATTGACTGTGGTAATTTGCAAATCACATGTTAGTTTTGTGTATTGTCTTAAAAAATAAGCATTATGATTATCATATTCTTTTATCAATGTAGAAGTTATTTGGAACTTGGTTATGAAATTTGAGATAGGCTTGAAAGCTTAAAAAATTGTCATATGTGTGAAAATTGTTATATGCATGTACTCCTGGTAAACAAATTCAAGGTTTGTGGTCACTTGGAGTCGGCTTGGCATTTTGTATCTGAGTAACAATTTTGTGTTTTGTGGTATGTTGGAGTTCGCTATGCAGTCCTTTCTTTATGAATCTGATGGCATAAGTTCTATTTTCAGAGAAGGTTTGGTATTCATTAAGCTATTTCGTCCTTCGGAAAGTTTGAGATGTATTTATTTGCCAGCCTAGTTCTTTATAAAAGTTTTCTTTCAGGTTATAATCACAAGTCACGACCATCCTAGAAATAAGAGTGAAATTTGTGTATGTGTCTAAAAACTCTAAAGTCTAAGCTATATATTAACAGGCTATTAGACATAATTCGACCCATTTTTTAAGTACATATGGAAAACGGTCACATTGTATTTTCAAGATAAAGTTCAGATAGGTGATGGTAGCAAGTTTAAATAAAAGGTATTTCATGCTCTACTAGAACTTTTTCTCTCTGAATGCTCTCTGTTCTACTTATTGTATATTCATGTGTGAATTCGTCTAACCATTAATGAACAATGTCAATCACCACACCAATCTGTTGATTTTATTTCTTGTTTAAATATCTATATTTCTAGCTCGTATGTATTGCATCTATTTGGTCCTATGAAAGTGCGTTTACATAGGAGTACATTGTACAGGACCTTATGTGCGTATTGTATTTTTTGCAGAGTTCTCTTGCAGATCTCCCTTTGAAAAACTACTATCGATTTGTGGTCCCTTCATTGGATGATTTCAGCAATGTTGATTATTCAGTAAATGGCCCCAAGGCATTCTTTTCAAATATGCCACTGTCGAAGACTCTCACTATGAATCTTGACGTCCCTGAGCCGTGGCTCGTTGAGCCAGTTGTTGCCATGTATGTTGCTTGCCGGTCATATTGTTTTTGATCTTATCTTGTTTCTGTTGTTGTTCCTTGTATCAATCTACAATTATGCATCAAAATACATACTTTCTTTTTCCTTCAGTTTGTTATATAGTTATTTCCTTTCTTTAGCCATGACTTAGACAATATTCTTCTGGAGAACTTGGGCGATTTGAGGACATTGCAGGCTGTGTTTGAACTTGAAGCTCTTCTTTTGACAGGTATAGCTGTCCTTACTATTAAAACATTACATTTTTGAAGGGGTTTCCAGTAAACAAAACATTGTCTTGTAGGGCATTGTGCTGAGAAGGACCATGATCCACCTCGTGGGCTTCAGTTGATTCTTGGTACCCAGAGAGGGCCTCACTTAGTAGATACACTTGTTATGGCCAATTTAGGGTACTGGCAAATGAAAGTTTCCCCTGGGGTATGGTATCTACAGCTTGCTCCTGGTCGAAGTGCAGACCTCTATGCACTCAAAGAAAGTGGAGATGGAAGTCCAGGAAATCGATCTGCAAAACTCATTACCATAAATGATTTAAGGGGTAAACTTGTACACTTGGAAGTAGCTAAGAAGAGGGGGAAGGAACATGAGGAACTTTTGAATGCTTCTGATGATCAACTGCTGGAAAAGAGAAAAGTATGTGGTCTTAATACTTAATACCATCTTAACTTACACTGTAAATTTATAATGCACTTTATGATGTCAACTATCTACAGGAAGGTCAAAATAGTTGGAATACAAATATATTAAAATGGGCATCAGAAATGATTGGCAGCGGTGGGTTGTCAAGGAAGGGAGAGACTAGACTTGTAAGGTTTTCTTTCCTCAGTTTGCTGTTACCGATGATGGTCAGATACTATAACTGGTTTATTGTGCTCTTATCTTGTCTTCGTTGTATTTTATGCTTTATCTTGCTTGTTCTTTTGAGCTTATCTTGCTTGTTGGTTATACAACATTTCACTATATAATTTTACAGCGTGTATCATCTATTAGGCAGGTTTCTTGCTTTTTTTTATACTAATTTTGGAGCACATGCCTAAGTGCCCGAGCCCTGGCAAGGTCCAAGCACCTCCAAAATCTTCAGGCTGGCAAATTTAATTGGGTGCTGCTTAGGCTGGCGGCCCACCAAATCGATATGATTGAGCTTGAGTTGACCCTGAATTAATTGATTCAGTTCAACCAAGCAAGTGACTACACATAGCTCCTCACCACTGCTTGCGTGCACAACTCCTTGTCATTGCCACCTGCGCTCATAGCTCCTTCCCCCCCGACTTGCGATGACTGATCCCGCGATCACTTCTTTGCAGCAAAACCTATATTACGACCAGGGAGCAGATCACTGCTTCTCCTTGAGTTGCCACCTGCTTCTCCTTGTCAATGATTGGTAGCTCCCTACTTTAGCAGTATCTCCCTCTCTCTTCTCTCTCCTTCCCAGCAGCCACTGAACACACATCCCTACCTCTCTCTCTCTCTCTCTCCCCCTTCCCTTCTTCCTTCCCTAGCTGTCGCCACCACCTCCCCTTGGGGACTGATTGGTTCCCCTTAAGTAGATTGGTCTCTGGATTTTTTTTGTCTATCTACTTGACTCTGTTTATAGGCCTTTAACTTTGGGCTACCTTCTTTCTTTTCGTTCTTCCTCTTTCTCTTCTTCTTTCGACCGCCCTCTACCCTCTTTGCTTTTGCTTAGGGCCTCCGGCAGCCCACCTTGTCTATCTTGTTAGTAGGGATATTTTAAATATTGAATGCTACGAAATACATGAATTGTCTAATTTTTATTTTAATTATTATCTTTCTCTTTAATTATATTTTTTATAATTTTTATATCGTTGAGTGCCTTGCTTTGTTTGGGTGACCTCAGGCATCGACGCCTTTTAGCGCATAGCATCTTTCACAACACTTATAGTAATTTTCTCACAAGATCTTTGATGCCCTTGAGCTCAATGATATAATTTTGTTCAATGTGTCTGTCTTATAGCCCCCTTTTATGCGACTTGGATTCTTTTTTGTATATTGTGTTCACTATAAGCTGTACTTCAACAACATTAAGCTATATCAACAATGTTGTGAATTTTCTTCTCAGGATCACAAGAAGGCTGGAAGGCAAGGAGAGACAATAAATATATTTTCAATTGCTTCTGGACATCTGTAAGTACATGATTATAATTATATATATATATATATATATATATATATATATATATATATATATATCTGCTGTTCAAATATAGATAGAATTCAGTACTGCCAAAGAAATTTTATTCTTTTTGTTACATCCAAACATAGCAAGACTTATCTTGCCTGCATGAGCATATAAAATATCTCAAGGTCGCACTGTCAGATTTATAACAAATCCCAATGGAATATGGCATTTCCCCACCTTTTGCTGAATCAAGAATATGGCATCTATTACCCAATCTTTCTACTTTATTAATGGACACCATTTCTTGTGAGCTTGTTGCTATGATGCTAGATGTTGCTTCAAGGAATTTCAAAGCTTTTTTAGGTTAAAAACTGGTTATGGACCACATGCTAAAATTCAGAAGAGTATATATTCATGTATACGAGGAGTCATTACGGTTTTGACCAATTTTCTATTTCCGATGCTTATCTTCAATTCATGACCACTAGGTTGTGGTTTATTGAGTGTATATATAGGCTCGTATCAAGCAAAAGTTTCCATCTTAGCTTCACATTGCATTTTGCTTTTTTTTTTGTTGAGAAACTTGGACTTGTTTTTGAACAAACTTGTACCTGAAAATTCTGTATCCATTCTTGTTTTGCTACTTTCTATATAGTATCTATACAATGGTTGTTTGGTTGTTCTATTTACAACTGTTGAGAGGGTAATACAAATGGAACACATTTTTCAATCATTGGCAATTCTCTTAGGAAGAAGTATATTTGCTTTCATGAGCTATGAAATTTTAGGTAAAATGCTCTTATTACATTTGTTTATCACAATCATTTTCACTTTTTTTTTCTAGGTACGAGCGCTTCCTCAAGATCATGATTCTGAGTGTTCTTAAGAACACTCAAAGGCCAGTAAAATTTTGGTTTATTAAAAACTATCTTTCTCCTCAGTTTAAAGTAAGTTTGTCTTTGTTTTCTTTTTTCTTTTTTTTTTGTTCTTGTGCAGTTCAAATACAAAACCTAAATTATTTATAATATCGGTAACAAACTAACAATATCAATTTCTTATGCAGGATGTCATACCTCACATGGCTCAAGAGTATGGTTTCCAATATGAGCTCATTACATACAAGTGGCCAACATGGCTTCATAAACAGAAAGAGAAGCAACGGATAATCTGGGCTTACAAAATTTTATTTCTTGATGTTATTTTTCCACTTTCACTTAGAAAGGTGTCTATTGCAAATTCTTTAGTTTCTGCATCAAATATTTAAGTGCTTTTATTATTATGGTCTATTGCCTTACTAAGTTATTGGAATCCTCTGGCAACATTGCATTCAGGTAATTTTTGTAGATGCAGATCAAATTGTAAGGGCAGATATGGGAGATCTCTATGACATGGATCTAAAAGGACGAGCTCTTGCATATACACCGTTTTGTGACAATAACAAGGAGATGGATGGATATCGCTTTTGGAGACAAGTTGGTGCCATCTTGCTAGTTGTTATATCCGATAATTTGATAAACAATTTTCTTTTAAGAAAAAGATATGGCTATTTCATTAATTAATTTCTTATATGGTTGTAACTTGTTAAAGGGTTTCTGGAAGGACCATTTACAGGGAAAGCCTTATCACATTAGGTAACTTATATTTCATGTCCATCCTGTATCTTTATTTCAGTCCAAGTACTCCTCTTTTTGTAGTTTATCTGATCAATTTATGATGGCCCTACAGTGCTTTATATGTTGTTGATTTGATGAAATTCCGCCAAACTGCTGCTGGAGATACCCTAAGAGTATACTATGAAACTCTTAGCAAAGATCCTAACAGTCTTTCTAATCTTGATCAGGTAATCTTTTGGCTATGTTATCATTTATTTCCTTTGAATATTTATTCTAGATTAGTTATATCCAAATTATTTTGTTGAAGATCATCAAAATTCTGCATTCTGAGATAAGATTGCACCGATCGGACTGATAAAACAAACATAAGTTAAGCTCTCAAAAGTGTTTCCATATTATCCACCTTGGAAGACATGTTCATTTTATGGGTTTGTTCATCCTGAAGAAAAGAATCTTATACTCAAAAGAAGTCTCACAATGTTTTCTTCTATTTCATCAGTGGAATTGTTAGAAGTAATGATAAAATTCTCAGCTTTAACTAAAGCTTTCTACAATTTTGTTGAGATTTGGTATTTGATTAGTGTGGGTATTTAAGTGTACCGCTAGAATCAAATACCTCAATGACTAAGAAGGTCAATGAGTTTGTTTAAGCAATAAATTATACCATTATCGTAACCATTTGAGGTGGCTATTTGCTCCCATCATTGAGGTCTAGTGAGGAAAATATCAACAAGGCCCTAGTCAAACTAAGAACCTTCAAATCCTAGTCTTCAAGATCTTCATTTACCTTTCGTACTGTTACTAATTTGAATTGGTGGATCTCGCCTTATTGGGGCAATTTCTCTCAGATTTTCTTCGGTCAGAATTACCTGAACTTTTTAAAAATATCATTTTTTTTTCCATTTCAACATCTGCATCTCAGTGAAAACTTTTTGGACTTGTTTCCATACTGACTTATGATGTATAAAGCATATACTGTGCTTTTATAAATGCCATTATATGACTTTTTCTTTATAAATATCATAACGTGTATCAGCACAATATGCTACTGAATGTTATTTTGGTGGGGTTATAATTAGTGATGGAAGTTGGTTATGAGACATCCATCACATCCATATATGCACATGACACATGACCAAAGTAACAAGTTACATGGTGAACAGAAATTGCAATCCCTCTTTGCCTCCAGTATTTGCTGAATATAAGGTTTTAAATTATCTATGCAAGGTCATGTTAAGCACCATAGTCCATCTTTAATGTAAAGTTGTAAACTAGCTTTCAGATACTCCTATAAACAACCTCCACTTGCAAGAATGCTTAACCAAAACCCTGCGCTGGGCCATTCTCTTCCTTTATATATGATTATGTTTCTGATTAGCTTGATACCAACTTAGACATCATTTACCTCTGGATTTTTCTAGGATCTTCCAAACTATGCTCAGCACACAGTGCCCATATTCTCTCTTCCCCAAGAATGGCTATGGTGTGAATCTTGGTGCGGGAATGCAACAAAGGCAAAGGCAAAGACAATTGATCTCTGTAACAATCCAATGACAAAGGAGCCAAAGCTACAGGTTAGTAATTTAACAAATTTAATAAGTTTATAGATTCACCCGTCAGTTCCTTTTTCTTATCCTGGTGCTATTGTGATATAGGGTGCTAGGAGAATAGTTCCTGAGTGGGTTGATTTAGATGCGGAGGCACGACAATTAACTGCAAGAATTTTAGGTGAAGAGGTTGACTCCAATGAACCAGTTACTTCAACATCGCTGCCGCCCGATGGTCCGCAGAACAATCATGAAAAAGATGAGCTATGATTGGATGAGACTTCCTTTTTCCACAATAACTTCTCGAGACACAAATTCCATATCTAAGCACAGACGTGATCGGAACCAAATGGCATCTGAACTAGTGGATTTTGAGAGTGAGAGACCCCTAGAGTTCTAGTATACATGCATCACACATGTAGATGCTGATTTATTTACCAATCCTTAATTATATTTAACTGATGTTTAATTTGCATAAGGAAATTGTTCATTAGCCATTGTAAAATTTTGACATTGAAACTCTTACCCTTAAGTTGAGGGTCTGTGTATCGGTATTGATAGGAAATACTAGTTTCTTTTCATTTTCTCCGATCTCCAAAGTACTTAAGAATTTATTTCACTATATCAAGATCCTTTTCTCTTACAAAGTAGCCATAATATTACTTCACTTTGTTATTTTGCCACTTGATATACTCCTTGCCGTTAGCTGCTTTAGTTTAAAATTGTACAACATGTGGTAACATAAAGAAATTTTATTGCAAGGATATCTTTTCTTTTTATTGTCTGGTGGCAGCATTGTGTGAAAACCTATAATTATCTTTATTTGTTCTTATTGCTGCAATTGTGTCCTCGTTGATGGTGTGAAACCGAGATTAAAATAATAATAAAAGAAATCTAATATTAGGTGACTAAAAATTATAACTGATTTGGTAATGCATGGCAGGTCGAAGTTTATATGTTTCACAGCAAGTGAACACAACAACAAATACTTACTTGAGCGACAATGAAGATTCTGATGATTCCAGTCCCCTCTCCTCCATCATTCTTCTCACTCTGTCTACGTCCTCCCTCCTTCCGGCGTCCTGGTAAATCATCATCAAAAGCTCGAAGTTGTGCTCGTTGTCGGGCTCCAGCTCAAACAATCGCTCCGCTGCAACCTCGGCTGTGCTGACTTCTCCGTGCAATGAACAGGCAAAGAGCAGCGCCCCCCATACCGTCGGCCCTCCATCGAATGGCATCCGCTTCGATATGAGCTCGTAAGCTTCATCAATGTACCCCGCTCTCCCCAACAAGTTCACCATGCACCCGTAGTGCTCCATCCCGGGCTTCATCTTGTACCTCTGCTCCATCTCGGCGAACAACCTTTTCCCCTCCTCTACCAGTCCCAGGTTCCCGCACGCCGACAGCAACGATACGAACGTGACTCGGTCCGGTAGCACCCCCGAGTCCTCCTCCATCTGCCGAAACATAGCGAGCACGCGATGGTCCCTGCGGTGCGCGCTGATGATGGCGTTCCATGAGACCAAATCCCTCTCCGGCATCGACTCGAAGATCAACCGCGCCAGGTCCGGTCTGTTCTGCTCCGAGTACATTGTGATCAGAGAGTTCGTGACCGATAGATCCCACTCGAGCCCCCGGCGGATGACCCAGCCATGAATCTGAAGCCCGAGCTTCTTCGTGCCGGTGAGCCCTGATAACATACCCGAGATGGTAATGGGGTCAGGTTCGATCTCAGCTCGAACCATTCCTCTGAAAAGTTTCAGCGCCTCCGGCAGAAGCCCATGCCGGATGTAACCCATAAGCATCGAATTCCAGGACACCGCATCCCGCTTGGTTATATTGTCGAACGCCTTGCGCGCTTTCAGGATGTCGCCGCACTTGGAGTACATGTCGACGAGAGCGTTGAGCACGAAGACGTCACTGCCGAATCCGGAGCGAACTGCATGGCGGTGGACGGCCTCGCCGTGGCGAACTGACCGGATTCCAGCGCACGCCTTCAAAACCCGGGGGAAGGTGTACTCGTCGGCCTCAACGCCATCTTCCTCCATCTGATAGTATAGAGCCATGGCATCCTCGTGGAGGCCCAGCTCGGTGTACCCCGAAATAAGCGAGTTCCAAGGAAACGCGTCGGTCTTGCTTCGTTGCGGCATTTCATCGAAGATGCGGTGTGCTTCTTCTACTTGGCCGCAAGCGGCGTACAGACGGAGGAGCTTGGAGGAGAGGGCGGCACTGCGGCGGAGGAGGGCGCCGGGGATGAGGAGGCGGAGGCGCGCGCCGTGGCGGAGGGAGCGCATTTGGGCGCATGTCTCGAGGAGGGAGGAGAAGAGGGAGGGGTCGAGAGGGACGCCGCGGGCGAGGGCGGTCTCGAGGTCGTCGAGGACGCGGTCGAGGGCTTCGGCTCGGGTGAGGGTGGTGGGAGCTGCAGGGAGGGAGAGGAGGAGGGGAGTGGGTGGCGGTGATCTGCGGCTGGTGATGGTGGTTTCATGTCGTTGGCGCGGGTTTTGGCTGCGAAGGAGGTTATTTCTCCGCCTCCTCGTGCTCTTCTTCTTGCAGGAGGTTGGTTCTGTGAGAGTGGTGGCGGTGGCGGAGGAAGAAAGCAGAACATACATGCCGGTTTCTGTTGTAATTAACGCCGTGACGGTTGTTGAGAAGAGGCATGCAGGTTCCGCTTATTTTGAAAGGAAAACAATTAATTTAATTAAATAAAAAGGAAAATATAATTAATATAAGATCTATATATACAATTATAATTTTTTATTATATCTGTTAATTGAAACTTATTAGGGTGCAGGAGTGATCGAGGTGGCGCCAAGGTTGAAGCGTCGAGCTTTTGAGGCACCATCTAAAGCTCGGCACCATCTGTACTAAGATCGATATCGGGAGAATTTTTCGACTTGATCCCTGTTACGCTTAAATTAGTTATCGAGAACTTAATGGGTATGGGTTCTTTTTTTTTTTGGAAGAAAGCCCCACAACGTTTCATCGATGATCAGCTTTTATACTTGACCCTCGAGGGGAAAATATATAACTACTCCAATGTTCCCCTCTTGGCATTTTGTCCACTTGGGCATAGGGGGGAGATAATACTCTTATCCACGTGAGCAGACAAGTGGAGGTTGACCTGGACTTTTTCCTTCTATGATGGCTTTCATCTTGTGCTTATATGTCGAATGAATAATATATTTCCTATCACTTACCCATTTGACAGACCCATTTGCGCATTTCGAGCTTGAGTTGGGTTTTCTCAGTTTACATGTCTTGGGCACATATCGCTTTACGACTCCGTTGTGGTATATTTCTCTTTGCGTGGGATGAGTTTTCCTGACTTAAGCATCTAGGACACATTTTGCCCTAGGCTTTTGCTATAGTGGATTTTTTCTTAATGCAAGTCAGATTTCTCGACTCACACATCTTAAGCACATTTTGGCTTGGGCTTTCGTTGTAGTAGATTTCTCTTGGTGCCGGTCGGATTTTTCTAACATACACCTCAGACTTATTTGAACCATGCCTCTACCATAGTAGCTTTTTTTTTCACATGGGTCGGGTATTCCTGACTCATATAACTCGAGCACATTTTTGTCTATACCTCCATCGTTATGGATTTCTCTTCACGTGGGATGGGTTTTCTCGACTCGTATGTCTCGTGCATATTTTGCTCTATGATTTTGCTATAGCGGATTTCTCTTAGCATAGGTCGAGATTTCCTAACTCATGCATTTTAGACACATTTTGGCATATGCCTCTGTCATGATGGATTTCTCCTAGTGCAGGTTGGGTTTTTTGACTCACATACCTCAAGCACATTTGGATCGTGCCTTCGCCATGATGGATTTCTTTTCATGCGAGTTGAATTTTTCTGACTCATATCTCGAGCATATTTTGAAATATGCCTCTATCATAGTGGATTTCTTCTCAAGTGGGTCAGATTTTCCTAACTCACGTGTCTTCGGCACATTTTGGCATGTGCATCCTCTGTGACGGATTTCTCTTGTCACGGGTCCAGTTTTTTCGACTTATACGCCTCGAGCGCATTTGGACTATGCCTCTGTCGTGGTAGATTTTGAGTCCTTCCTTCACCATGGCAGATTTCTAGTCCTCCTTCCACCATAATAGGCTTTGAGTCCTTCCTCTATCATGGCAAATTTTGAGTCCTCTTACAGTGATAGGCTTTAAGTCATTCTCTAACGAGCACCTACACTATATCTTTAGTATCCCCGCACGAGTAACTATGAGACCAGTTGCCTCCATATGGACGAGTATACAACACACCGGCCTATCCGATTATCTCGACACTCCTCTTGAATAACGTACGACTATGATTATTTAGGGTCTGTGTTTAAAGGTGAATCGGTCTCATTATCATGATCTCATCATGATATGATTCCTATTGTACAGATCCATGGACATCATAATATGTTGATAAAATGATAAAATTTTAATAAATAATAATAAATAAAAAGTGTGTGTGTCATGTCACATGTGTCATCACTCACGTGATTAGCTTGTAGGGCACATATGACTAGCATTTGCTTCACCGACTAAGTCTTGGAAGAGATGTTCATGTGGTGTTGGGCCATGTTCACGTCAATTCCAAGCATGTCTCTTAGTGATTACGTAAACACCTTGGCGTTCTTCTCAAGAAGTGTTGCCCTGACCTTGACGACTTGATCGAGATGAGCATTATATAGGGGTGCCTCGATCAGGGACTCCATTGACTCTGGATGTGGGAGGAACTTGGTGAAATGTCGAGGGTCCATTGACGGTGCCTCGGGCTAGGCCTTCTTTAGTAGGGATTCTATTGTTAGATAGCACTGGTACGACTCCCTCGAGTTGTTTCTTAGTTCTCCGACACCAATCCTCATTGAAAATTTCATCATCATGTGATAGGTTGTGGCACCACTACTCTCAGCCTATTGAGCATGGGTCGACCTATGATCATGTTGTACACCAAAGGGATGTCTACTATCATAATTTTGGTTATCATTATTTTGGAGTATGGCTCATCCCCAAAAGTGATATGAAAGCTTATAATCTTGAAAGAGGAGACAGAGTCTCTAGTAAATCTCGTTAGCGAAATAATCATAGGGGTGATATCGTTAGTCGAGAGCCCAAACTTTTAAAAAGCATCGAAGTAGCGAATATCGATAGAGCTGCCTGTGTCAATCATGACCCTCTTCACATAAGTCTTAAATATCCTCATAGAGACCACCAAGTCATCTTCATAGTTTAGGTCGAGGTACTTTATTTCTTCTTCCTTGAAGGTTATTCTGAGTCATCTTGGAACTTTGAGTACTTCTCGATGGTAGCTTGAGCATAGGCTTTACGACCCGAGGAGTTATCTCCTCCCGAGGCAGGTCCACCATTAATGATATTGATCTACCTCTCCACTGGCCTTAAGGTTGGGGCGAAGGTTTCTAGTGCCTCTGGAAGAACCTCTCGAGATGATTCTGATGAATGAGTTCTTTGATTTATTTCTTTAAATCACGAGAGTCTTTTGTGTCATGGCCATAGTCAGTGGAAGTGATAATACTAAGATTTGTTCTTCCTCTTTGACAATATTCCCATCGATTGAGAGTCTTTCATAAGCCCTTTTTTTTATTTGTTAAACGATTTTGGTTCTAGTCATGTTCAAGGGAGTCGACTTAAACCTCAGGTGAGGTAGCTCAGGTTAGTCTTTTCTTCTTCGTTATGATAACCTTTGGGTCGGGGCTAATGGTAGTCACTCTTATCTCAACCTTTTGTGCATCTCCTTGTACTTACTCGAGACTATTATCTCCATGATAATATATTGGTTGACCCTTTAGAGTGCCTCTCCACCAATGACTAGGAAAAACAAGAGGGCTTGAACCTCACCATGAAGGTCTATATTGCAAGCAAGGGTTGAGCTTCTTGTATGCCTCTTATCTCATTAGTGAATCAAGCGATGAAGTTGGAGAGTGTTTCTTCCTCCCCTACTTGAGTCCAATAAGCATTGCCACTAATGGCCTTGGGTGCATATTCCCAAGGAACCAAATCTTAAACTCCTTTGCAAGCTGAGCAAAGGAGCTAACTGAGAGTGACTTCAAGCTAGTGTATCATTCCTATGTCAGGACTCTTAATATTATTGTGAAGGTCCAACACATCATGGTGTCCAAGGTGTCACACAGTAACATCTAGGCACAAAAGGGGGTAGTGTGCTCTATCGGTACTATTAAGGGCCTTTAGCGATGGAAGGCTAAAGTTCATCAGGATTGACTCCTCTTGGATGTTCTGAGTGAATGAGGATCGACCCATGGTAGGATCGATCAGACTTTGCCATTTGGATTGCTAGAACTCTCATCGCATCTCTTCTAAGCATTTGCCATGGTTGAATCCTCAATAAGTCATCCATCAAATCTATTGAGTGGGTCTCAAATTCGGGTGGAGCAAGGCAATGGCGATGGTGTATTGTATTCCACAGTTAGGGAACAGGGCACTCCCTCAATCGATAGTTCTATGGGCCTTGGGCGATCCTGAGATGCTGGCACTATGTCGAGCAAGGGAATCTTGATGGTAGTTGGAGCTAGTGGCATTTGATGCACTAATTATGACCGAGATTATGGCATTACTTATTGGGTAAGAGTGAGGTGATGCCTACATCATGTTTGTTAGCGTCTGCATCTGTTGGGAGAGGTCTAGGAATACCTCAACAAAAATAAGCAAGTGGCTCAAGGTCGTCCTTGGGGGTGAAAGGCTCGAGTCATTAAATAGGCTCGAGTCATTAAATAGGCTCCAGTATTGCACAGACGTTTAGGTCAAAGTGGACGCATCCACATATGGGAAGAATAACAATTATCCCCCTTAGTAAAAGTGTTATGGGTCAGGGGTAAGGCCTCATTGTTGGACTATTGTTGGGAGGATTAATAGGTGGATGTTCCTGTGACATCAGGCCCTCGTAGCACTAAAATGTTAAGAGAAATCATCATCGACATTTGAGTCAATCCAATGTTATCTAAACCCAAGGGCATAAGAGTATTTGATGTGGGAGCATCAAGCCCCTAAGGCGCCATTTGCTCTAAGACCGATGTCGGAGAAATTTTTTTGACTCAATCTCTTTGATGTTCAAGTTAGTTACTGACAATTTAGTGTGTGTGGATTTTTTTTTTGCTAGAAGAGAGCCCTACAATATCTCGTCGAGGATCAACTTTCATACTTGATCTTGAAGGGGGATAATTTGTAATCGCTCCAATGTCTTCTTCTTAGCGTTTTGTCCATGTGGGGGACAGGAGGGAGACAATATGAAACAGTCTATTTTGAACTCTTGTCCATGTGAACAAAATGAGTTAAGATTGACTTGGACCTTTTTTTTTTCATCGTGGCTTCCATGTGATGCTTATATGATACCTATTGGATGAATAGTTTGTTTCCGATAAAAACCCAAATTTATTTTCTTATTTTTTCCGTGACATTTTATTAAGCTGTGATATCCAAGTTCTTTTTTATACGTTTTGTGAAGCAATAAAAAAGTGTCCTCTTTTCTGCATTAATAAAAGAAAAAAAAGACTTCGGATCCCCAGATAACTAGTAAGATCCGGAAACCTAGACAACTAATCGGACTCGGATGCAATTCGCAGACTCTGACATCTCTTATGGCGAAAGCAGCCCGAAGGCCATCAGACTCCGAAGCAGCTAGAAACCTCTGGCACACGATAAAA